GGTACTAGGGAGTTACTGCTTAATGAATATGGAGTTTCTGTTTGGATTGATGAAAAAGTTTTAGAAACAATGGTAATGGCTGGCATAACACTGAGAATTTAATTAATGCCACCGATTTGTACACTTTAAAACAGCAAAACTTATGTTATATATATACTTCACCACAATATAAAAAAAATCCATGATTCTGTTATTCTATGTGTGTAATGCAAAAGGTTTAAATTTAAAATTGGACTTAATAAAAAACAAAAACTTCATTACTAATGTGGATAAAGGCATTTCTTTTGAATAGAATGTATTTACCATAAAGGAATTTGCCTAAAGCAAATGCTTCCATAATCCAGTGTTTCATAAAAGCCATAAGCAATTACATGTTCTCCAGCAGTGCTACTGAATCGAACCAGAATGATTCAGTAAGGGCAGAAAAATAACTGTACTCATGAAAAGCTCATTTGTAAGTGTTACCATATTATCATGATGATAAATGTTCTTATTAATGCTAAAATGGAACATATACAGTTTAGAAAAAATTATTCTTTTATCTACCCACACTCAGAGATATACAGATTCACATGTACACAGACCAAAACATCATAATTTAACACGTGAAAGGGAAAAAAGTGCCTAGGAGACTGAAAATGCACTGGCTAAAGTTCATTTCTTTGTTCATAAAATTGCTAAATTTTGATAGATTAGAAAGATATTCAAAAGACATCTACAATCAGAGACCCTTCTGTGTGAGTTTTGGGGTCAAAGAAAAACTCATTTTAAACTTAAAATTTCCTTGGTGTCCCCCACCCCCAAAACATCTTCTTAAATGTGAATGAGTGGAAAAAGACATATCATATCAGTATTAATTGAAAAAAACATAAAAACAAAAAAATCACAGTTGGAGCACTAATACAACCCAACTTCAAGAATCATTATTAAGCTACAATAATTAAGATAATGTGGTATTAGTGTCAAGACAGACACTTAGATGAATAGAACAGAATAAAGAGTCCAGAGATAGAGCATACAAATATGGATAACTGATTTTTAACAAAGGAACAAAGGCACTTCAGTGCAGAAAGAATAGTCTTTCCAACAAAAAGGACTGGAACAACTGGACATCCATTTTAAAAAAAGAAGAGAAGAAGAAGAGAAACAAAAAAAACTTTGATCTATCACTCACACCATATAAATATTGAATCAAATTGGATCATACCTAAACATAAAACATAAAACTATAATGCTTCTAGAAGAAAGCAAAAAATCTTTGTGAACTTAAATTTGGCAAAGATTTCTTAGATATGACACCAAGAGCATAAAATTTAAAAATTGATAAATTGGACTGCATCAAAATTGAAAACTTTTGCTCTTCAAAAGGCACTATTAGGGCCGGCCCGGTGGCGCACTGGATAGTGCGCCGCTTGGGAAGCGCAGCGGCGCTCCCGTCCGAGGGTTCGGATCCCACATACAGACCGGCTCCCGCTCACTGGCTGAGCGAGGCACGGGAGCAACGCCGAGGCTTGCGATCCCGTTGCCGGTCCCCGGTCCGGTACGGGGGCAACACTGAGGGTTGCGATCCGTTGCCGGACACGGAAAAAAGACAAAAGACAAAAAAAAAAAAAAGGCACTATTAAAAGAAAAGACAAGCCAGACTTGAAGAAAGTATTTGTAAATCATATATCTGATAAAGGACTTAAACAGAGAATTTATAAAGAACTCTCAAAATCCAACAGTAAGAAAACAAAATTGGCTAAAGATTTGAAGAGATGCTTCAGAAAGGATATAGCAATAGCATATAAGAAGAAAAGATATTCAATATCATTATTAGAAAAGTGAAAATTAAAACCACCTAATACACACCTCTTTGAAGAGCTAAAACTTAAAAGACTGACAATACCAGATGTTGGCAAGGGTGTGGAGGAAAATTGGAAATCTCATTCACCACTGGAGGTACAACCACTTTGGAAGGCAGTTTGGCAGTTTCATAAAAAGTTAAACATATAGCTACCCTATGACTCAGCCATTCTGCTCCTGGATATTTACCCCAGAAAAATGAAAGGGTATGTCCATAAAAAGGCTTAGACATGAACATTCATAAGAGCTTTCACTGTAATGCCCCAAACAGAAAATCACCAAAATGTCCATAAACACATGAATGGCTAAGCAAATTGGGTATACCTATATAATGAAACACTATTGAGTAATAAAAGGGTAAACTGTTGACACACACAATGACAAGGAATGAATCTCAAAATAATTATGCTCAGTGGAAGAAGCCAGGCAAAGAGGTGAAAAAAAAAAAAAAAAAAAAGGATATATTATATGGTTGTATTTATGCAAAGTTCAAGCAAGTGCAAACTCATCTATAATAACAGAAAGGAGACCAGTAGCAGTTTGGAGATGTGGGAGTTGGGGGAGGGGGAGGGTGGAGAAGGGAGGGATGGAAGGAAAGGATCACAAAAGGGCACAAGGAAACTTTTGGGAGTGACAGACACTTTCATCATCTTGATTGAGGTGATGATCTCACTAGTCTATACATGTGTCAAAACTTACCAAATTATTCACTTTACAAATGTCCAACTTTTGTATGCCAATTATAACTCAATAAAGTTAAAAAATAAACAAAATCAGCAGTTTGTTTGGGATATGTGAAAACTTGCTTGGGATATGTGAAAAGGAGAAAGTCCTTTCTTTCAGCAAGGAAGAGGCAAGATTCAAACTGTGACCAGTACCCACAGAGAGGTCATTTTTTTAAAATGTATATAGTGCCAATGCAGAGGGGGGAAGAAAAAAATAAAATAAAATAAACAAGAAACTCTACCTTTTATAAATGGCAGATGATAGAGGTTTGTCCATTTACATTCTTCAAGCCCAGTTCTGAGGCAATCTGTTTCTTTTTTTTTTTTTTTTTTTTTTTTTT